CCCCCGGGGGGGGGGGCCCCCCCCCCCCCCCCCCCCCCCAGGCACGCGAAGCGGGTGCACTTCGTCCGTTGCTCAACGCTGAGGAAGTGAGATTTGTCTTTCCTGGAGTGCCCTCCGCGTCGGGAGAGCCGAGAGAAGCTTCATGAAGGCTTTTTCACGCGTTCCACCTGTCGAATCTATCCAGCAGAGCTCACGGAAATGGGAGGGAGGCGGGGATCGAGATGAGGGTCGCTTCCTGGACTACTTCCCCTCTGGAAGAGGAAAAGGGCTAGACCCAATGTCTTTCTGCAGCGGAAATGACCCGCCGCTTCCGACGATCTCCGGGAAATGACAGCTCGAACTTCGCCTCAGCATACCTATGAGAGAAGAGAAAGATCCTCCACCCGTTCCATCTTCGCGGTCCGCTCTCAGAGGTTTTTGTCGAGCTTTAAGTGGAGGAAATTCGGCCGGAAAGGAAATTGAAGGGGCCCCTTTCCTTTCTCGCCCTCTCGAGCTAATGGTGTTAAGAACGCAACATCATAGAGGAAGGGGAATCAGTTGATACGTTATTTATTGCTTTAGCTCCATTTCATGGCAGGCTCCACTATCAAGATGGATTGAATTCCCTAAAAATTGAAGTTCTACCCGTTCGCCTGAAGATGATCGTTTTGTACCCATGCCTATATCGCCGTATATGCTGGTGTAATGCTTCTGCATTACATCTGCGTCGCCTGTCACAATTTGCTTCTTTAAAGGGAAGGAATCTTTCAGAGTTCGAGCGCCGGCAGTAGACGGGGAATATGGACATTTGAAGGTGTTCCTATGGTTTTTTTTTTCTTGTTAGTAAAGGTCCCAAAAGCGCGATCAAATTCGGTGGGGTTGAGGGGGTTAAGAAACATGAAATTGACATCTTTAAAAAGCGAGATTCAGAATTTTCCGCAACCCCAGAAAATTGAGGCTTCAAATTTGCTGGAGCGATTCTATGCTGAGAAGGTATGAAGCATGCCTAATTTCGCTCCTGCAGATGCTCTCAGAGAGGAACACGAGGAGGCTGAATTTTGCTGCTGGAAAGGGTTGAGAAAGGTAACAGGCTCTACCAAAGTCTATTACCTTTTTCAGCCCTTTTATTATAGCTTAAGCCTATTGATTTAAACAAGAACTATACAATACATTGTATCACCACTTCCGTTTCTATTCATAAAAATGAATTCCTGCCACATTTAAAGGTAACTAAATCATATCTACTTTAATACAAATTTTGGGCTCCTGTCAGTTACACTCGTCCTCAAATTGCATGCATACAGGAAAGTGTGCCTAGTTTCCAAATGTCAAATACATTTTTTTGGATTCGGGCTATCGTTAGCTAGCACTTTTGCACATCCTACACACTGTGGTCGGGGATCGTGGCCTGGACCAGAGGGGGTAAAAGCAACGTGCAAGTTATGCAATCAATGCGAGTGGCCATTTCATGCACTTTTTTTGCTTGCTTCGTCCAACACTCGTTCTCTGCGAATGATTATTCAGTGCTTTGGGGATTCTTTTTTCGCATCTACAGTTTGAAAAAAAAGCTCGATTTATCACGATTTTCAGCAACGTAAATATTGTGGTTGCTTGTTGTTGAATCTATGAAACGGGATCGTGGACCAAAAAAAGGGGGGGGGGGGCTTGATCTGTAGGGCTGCTACTCGGTGGCATGGTCTTTACGTCGCACTCATTTCCATTCGTTGGCTGCAATGTGTCCGCAGGCTCTTCGTGGACCACTGCGACCTGCTGAACCAGTTCGAGAAATTCCAAGGATTGGAAACCCAAGACGAAGAGGCGGAGAGGATGGAACTGGCTGACCACGCCAGGATCGTCATGACCACCCTGGACACGAGCATCAGATCTCTGGACAACCTGGACGAGTTCTTCCAGTACGTCTACACCGTCGGGGAGGCTCACACTCGAATACCGGAGTTCCAGAAGGAAAATTTCATGGTATGTCCCCATCGTGTCTCTGTCTTTCTCGTCGGGGCCTGCCGTTCATCGGCGAAATCTTGCCGTTCAGAAAATCAAGGGACCTTTCCTGTACGCGGTGCGAGAGACGCTGCAGGAGCGATATACGCCAAACATCGAGGCCGTCTACAGGATCACGCTCGATTTCATCATCGGGACCCTCGTCGAAGGATACGAGAACGCCCTCAAGAACCAGCAGAATGAGTTCGATTCGAGAGGAGACGAATCCGAAATGGAACTTCTCAATCCGTCCACTTGATGGGATGATTCATAAGTCGATAAGGCTTTCAACGATCCGGAAGCAAATCGAAATCATATCTTCATAGCAGACAGAGAAAAACAAGAAATCGAGATGGAGTATATGGATTTTTTAGCCCTCTGGCAACTTGGTGGAAGTTATCGTGTTCTGTCATGGTGATGGGGAGGCACTGGCGAAGCAGGCGAGCATCCACTCGGCCTCTCGTGTCACAGATCTGTGTTTTCAATTTAAATTTCCACTTTGGGATTCACTGTGGCTGGATGTTTTTCAACGAAATTTTTTGTCTCTTTGCGTGTCAATTTCGTCGCATAGATTTCCATCGTTTCGGCGAATTTTCGGAACGGGAAACCATTCCCTATGGTTTTGGCAGAACCAATGCATATTTTCAAAACCAAAACCAATACATTTCTTTTCCCTTTCACATTTGCGGATGTATCCCCTATTCAACGCTATTTCCACTCTTCATTTTTTCCTTATTTTTTTTTTATTTCGTACATTTCATCTACTCATCCATCTGAAAGGATTAAACTCACCCGCATTCTGTTAGCCATCGATAAAAAAAAGAAAACCTATTGTGGATCCTCAGACATCCCTCCTTACATTTTTTTAATCCTTTGGGTCTTTCTGGTTAGATGAATTCCTCAAGGACAAGGAACAATTGACAAGGAAAAATAATAGAATGGCAGAGAAATTTATATTTCTTTCCAGGATTTTCCAAATTCTTCGCTTCTTCGCCTAAAATCCTGACAATATCGTGTGATTTATCGCTCAAAAAAAGATTGGCAGACAATGTTGTCATTCGAATGTGTTCCTCCTAGGGGTCCCAATTTCCGGTTAATCCATTAACAGGTGGCCGTCATAAAGTAACCGGTAAACCGAATGGGGAAACTCTTAAGAACGATAGAGATATGAGAGGAAGAGTCCGGAGTCAACCCTTCCACTCATATCTCGAGTTAATGTTTCCCACTACAAATGACTTGTATCGGGGGATGAGGATCTCTCTTAGCAGACAAGTCCTTGAGGGCCCTGATGAGACCCTGAGATTGGAACAGGAAGTAAACCGACTATTAGTCGAATGAGATTCATCAGAAGGACATCAGGAGGGTAAAAAAAAAGGGGAGATAAGAGAAAAAAACGGATAGGCGGTGTGATATAGAACCCCATTTCCCTCTCGATTCCTGCTGTGATAGGGGCGAGACGGGAGCCAAATACTTTTCCGCAGCGGGACCGAAACTCATCGGGTGCGTAGCTGGGTATCGACCGGGGGCAAACAGTGACAATGAAAAGAAGCTGCGGGAGAAGGGCCAGAAACAAAAAAACTGAAGGAGGGGTGTCAGAATGTCTTCTGTTTTCCCTTCCCATTAGGGGAAGTGCAAAAAAAAAGAGGAGATATCGAGGAGAGAGGGAGAAAAAAGAGGGACCGCACCCTCATGTTTTCTCCTTTTTTTTGCCTCTTCTGCCGCGGTCTGAAAAATTTCTCTACCCCGTGCCAGGGTGACACCTATGGGATTCCAAGTCAAGTTATGCATTTTTGGGGACTTCGGTCGTACCTCGAATTGCTTGAAAAAAAAAATTCACGGAGAGTAACCTCCCTGAGCTACTAGAAAACTTCAATTTTCAGCGCCCATGCTCAAATTGGTTCTGAGGATATGCGTCCGGAAAGCTTACCGCCAGCGGGGAAAGGTTAGGAATCTATGGAGTCAATGGTTATCTTTGGCCCTTATTAAGCTAGCTCAAACAATAGTCAAAGTGAAGCTGAATCTAATTTTCCCTCTGAATGTTTCTGTATATTTACCGCAAATAAATTTATATACAAATTTTTGTTTACAATATTTATCCGTAAAAGCCTGATTGTAGTCATTTTGTCATCGTAATCACCCCTCAAAGATACAAAAAAAAAGTAATTTGCCCCTCTTTGAGGGGAAAATTACATTTTTAATTTCATATTTTACTAGATTTCATAAACTTTGCTAACATTTCATGCTTGAAACAAAATGCAAACGTGAAACGACCAGAAACGTCTGGTCGTTCCCCAACATTTCCAACATTCCCATTGGATAAACATTTCTCAAGGCTAAAAAATTAGCATATTTTGGACAAAAAAATCATACGGACGTGAAAATTCAAAGGAAAGGTAAAAATAAAAATGCAAAATTTCATATCCCAAAAGAGCTCGACGAGAGTTTTCATTTTGCATTAATTTCAATCTGTGTCCCCGTTGAAGTTCCAAAAATCTTGCAAAAAGTGACGCTTCAAATGTATTTTGCCTCTGTTCGAAATGAAGTAGAAAGTTATACTCGAGCTTTTTAAACTGCTATCTACAAGTATTGCAATGTTGCAAAAGCTCATAGTTTTTCCAAATGTCTTTCTGTACGAGATTTCCATGTAAAGCTTGAACTGTCTCACATATTTATAAAGTTGCCATTTCTGTAACGAAAATAAAGAGAAGTTCACGGGGACAGATGAAATTCATCTTCGTCTAGCCTGTAGTTAGAAGCTTAAAAATACTTCCCAGCTCAATTAGGGCTAAAGATAGCCCTTTGACCCAATGGAGTATCTTTTTCCCGCGGGAGCAAACATCCGGCAGCAAATCTCGAGAACTTATTAGAGCGCTGAAATCTCGAGTTTCCTCGTTGCGCGAGGAGGCCAATCGTCCGCGAATGTTTTTCGAACAAATACCGGAATATTTTATCATTTGAGCTGGAATGCCTCACCACCTGCGTGTTTCATGTGTCGGAGACCGAGGATGTATCTTAACCCCCCTGCTGCATAACGTCAATTGGCATAAAACTAAATTTGAGAACACGAACAGAGAACAATCATTTTGAGTGCGTATTTGAATGAATAAAACCAACGTAAAACCAACAACGAATGACGTCAAACCTGTACAGCATCTCACAGACCATTGATCCCCCCAAATAATGTTGGTGAAAAATTTAAAAATAATTTTAAGCTATATTTTAAAACTATAGCTGAAATGAGACATTTTTTCTATCACATTTTCATAATTCATGCAATAGTGGCTTAAGGGTAAATGGAAACCGAATTTTTGTAACTCGCCAGAAAAGATCGGTCGACTAACCAGTTCTCGACACGTGATATCGAAATGGGCGAAATCGCCTCTTTATATCACTAACTCTCCTGACTCCTGACTCCTGACTCCATGGTTTACTCTTGGGACCCCTAGTCCTTGCTGTGCTTCTTACCATTTTGTGATGTGACAACTTGACTGATTATTCGATACTCCATGTGTATGAATCTACAAAATGTGCACAAATATAATTTAGTGTCTCAGCTTTTCATGTTCATAATTCTTTTCATTAGTTCCAGGCGGGTCGGAGTGAGTGAATAAACTGCAGCAGGAGGGAAAGGAAAAAACCTAATTGCGATTGCCCTATCAGCCAAATAATTCACAATTGCTTACCGTGAAATCCAAATATTATTCTTTGGTATATCGCCTCCGCGCAGAAACGTGGAAACCCATTTTTAGGTTTCCGCTTTGGTGCGACGTTCGATGTCCGTGATATGTTCATCAACGACGGCATACCGCAGATGTCTCGAGTGCTTATGTTCAAGGCTCCGACACTGTATTAGATTAGTCATAAATGGCCAATGTGGAGGCGAATCCAAGAAGTTCCTGCTCTCTTACCCCATTCATCATGACTATTGGGACATGAGGGTCATGTTGCATTTTCCTTCCGATTTCGACGAACTTAGTCTCGTGCTGAAATATCTCTTTGAATTTGAAGGCCGTTTCCATGCATCGATTTTCATGCAGTTCGTGCATGACGTAAACAATGGATTGTAAACGAAGTTTTGCCTTGTGCAATTTTCATTCTTGTATGTCAAAAAAAACAATAAATACGACTTCACGATACGCCATCTTGGTCCATGTTTCTACGCATCACATTCCTATATCTGGTATGCACGAACCACACAACCAACGAATGTTACCGTTGAATGCAACTTTTTCGTTAGCCACAGTTCGAGTACACATCATGGCGGTCCTCTCGACCATACGGTTTGTGCATTCGACTCGACTTTCAGGCTTTCGAGTTTTTGTCGTTTTACCCTACCCCGGCACCCCACCACATTTCAGCTTCGTAAAATGCAAGAGCAGATGCAGATGAACTTGACTTATTACGCTAATAACCAAGAAAGGCCCCAATCGTAGCGCGTCGTTATGGAGCATCATCCAATTATCGCTAATGGTTATGGCTTTCAATTCAAATGAGCGAGATCACTCTATTTGATTTGGCTAAGCATTATTTGTCTCAGTTAGAGCTCCTGGAGAGAGAACCTGGCCGACCCGGGTCAAATTTTTCGACTCATCTGATTGGCTGACGCGCATGGGCGCCATTGTCGCTCCAGTCGCTGCATGAACATGGTCCATGCAATGCACGTGAAGTGGCTTTTCCGCGTTGATTGTAGAGTAATAATGCCGCGTTATGGAGATGTAAAACGCTCAAACGGGTCTGAGCAAGGCTTTCGTGTTTCTGTTTCCGATAGACGCCCGGAAAAGATCCCTTAGGCCTCGAAAGAGAAACGTGAATATTGGGAGCTTTAAGATTGATCTCGCTTATATGAGGTCACCATAGCATAAAGCCTATCCGATCCAGTAAGGAACCCCTTTTGGGGGTCGGGATAACATTGCCCCAACAATAAGTGGTTGGCATTTATGTAAATGCAGAACCTTCATGGTATGAATTCAGGTTAGGCTCTGTCGAAAAATACGTTATTTAATATACAGGGTCGTCCAAAAAAAATGTCAGTGATTTTCAAGAAGCAATATCTCTAGAACCGCTGTCGCTAGAAACTTAAAAAATTCCCAAATTAAAGCTCATTCATTTCTCTTTCGATCCGTGTACGGTTCATTGGCCATGCCAGCCATATAATGGTCGAAATAGCCCCCCGTAAAAAAACATGCCACAAAAAAAGTTGCGCACACAGTTGAACTTGAAAGTGAAAGAAAAACGTCGCGATAGTTGCAAAAAACTCCT